GTAGAAAATTTGAGGGAAGGGAAGGAGACGGGAGAAGAGAGAATTAGAATGAGGCTTCCCAAGAGCATGAAGCAAACTCCTGGTCCCGACAAAAAACCCTTTTATTAATTGACTGTGAATTCTGCTCATTCACATCCAACAAAGTCTTTTGAGGGAGGATTTACAATCACAGACCTTATCTGGCTTGGAGAGCTGCCAGTCCAGATATCTGCAGAACTTGGCCAGGAGTCTTGGAGAGTCATGAATGAATTAAGCGAAGTACCGTAATTGTCTCCTGCAAACTCCACTCCCCTGTCGCTCCTCTTTTATTTCCTCTGGGACTGTCTGGGACTGTGGCCTTACTCCCAAGTCAACGCCTGTTCTTTAGCTCTTCCCTTCGTCTGGCAACTCTGTGCATGCGCACACTGGGAACAGGCTCCAGCTGTTCTTCTGCCTCACTGATGTCTGACTCTGAAAGCAGCTGATAACTGTCAGACGGCCCTGGGCCCCTCTCTGTCTCCTACACAGAGCCCTCATCAGAGCCTTCCCCAGACTCCAGGGCTGGCCCATCTTCCTCCCCAACCCTCCTCAGTGCCAGATTCACTTAACAACCAGGTGACTGACTTATCAATTGTGGTGATTCACTTAATAAAAGTGGCAAGAAAAGTCGTAAAATGGGGCAAAACTCCCTTAATAAATGTCTCCTTCACAATAGAGACTTTGGGCTCGGCCGTGGTCGTAAGTCGAGGACAATCTATACATTTCACAAATAAATAAATTAACGCTATTGTGTTGACTTTCGAAGGCATGTCTAAGAAGACGAATCGAGGCACTCAGCTCCACAAATACTACATGAAAAGGAGAACTCTGCTCCTCTCACTTCTGGTAAGTCTCTTCTCCTAAACCCAGCACAGACCCAGTCCTATGTAAGTGGGAAAGCCTCGATTTTACAGACTACAGATAGTCCTCGACTTACGGAAGTTTAATTAACAACCGTTCAAAGTCACAACGGCACTATCTTTTTTCCCCACTTCTGAAACCATGAAAATGATTTGGGCACATCTCTCACATCGCCAGAAATAGAGTGTGACTCAAGACCCCCTTGAACTTTGATAAGTCAAAACATGTCTTCTGCCCCAAATCCCCTCCTTCCCTCCCTCCCTCCCTCCCTCCCTTCCTCCCTCCTCCCCCTTCTTCCTTCCTTCCTTCCTCTTACTTTCTTCCATCCTCCTTTCTTTCCTTCCCTCCCTCCTTCCTGCCTGCCTTTTTCCTCCCTTCTTTCCTTCCTTTTTCCTTCCTTCCTTCCTCTTTTTTTCTTCCCTCCTTCCCTCCTCCTTTCTTTCCTTCCCTCCTTCCTTCCTGGCTTCCTTTCCTCCTTCCATCCTCCTTTTTCCTTCATTTCTTCCTTCCTCCCTCCCTCCCTCCCTCCCTTCCTTTTTCCTTCTTTCCTTCCTTCCTCTTTCTTTCTTTCCACCTTCCCTCCTCCTTTCTTACCTCCCTTCATCCTGCCTTTCTTTCCTTCTTCCGTCCCCTTTCTTCCTTCATTTCTTCCTTCCCTCCCTCCTTCCCTCCCTTTTGTATTCTTCCTTCCTTCCCCTTCCTTCCTTCCCCTCTTTTTTCTTTCTTTCTCCCTCCCTCTTTCTTCCTTCCTTCCTTCCCTCCCTTCCTACTTCCCTCCTACTTCCTTCCCTCCCTCCCTCCCTCCTTCTTTCTTTCCATCTGTCCTGGCCAATGTTTGTTTGTTTGTTTTATCGAAGTAATTTCAGTACAACTACTTAAAATGCCCAGCACTTACTTACTTAACTTTCATTTTCTTTCCTTTGTTTTCTTTCTTTCTTTCTTTCTTTCTTTCTTTCTTTCTTTCTTTCTTTCTTTCTTTCTTTCTTTCAAAGGCTACGGAGATTGAGCGCCTCATCACTTGGTATAATCCTCTTTCGTCTCCGGAGCTGGAGCTGGACCAGACGGGTGAAAACAGCGTTGCCAACTGGCGCTCCAAATACGTCAGCCTGAGTGAGAAGCAGTGGAAGGATAACGTGAACCTGGCTTGGAGCATCTCCCCTTACCTGGCGGTGCAGCTTCCCACCAGGTGAGTCCCTTGCCCTGCGTTACAAAATCAGTAAACTTTGGATCCAGGCAGCCCTCGGTGTGCAACCACAACTGAGCCCAAAACATCCATTTTTGCTAAGCAAGACTGTTATTAAGTGAGTTTGCAAAACAATTTGTCAAGGGAATCCCTGCAGCTGTTATGTGAGGAACACCGTTGTTAAGTGAATCTGGCTTCCCCACTGACTTTGCTGGCCAGAAGGTCACAAAAAGGAATCCCATGACCCCTTGCAACCGTCATAAATCTGAGTCCTTTGCTAAGGGACTGAATCTTGATCAAGTGATCATGGGGAAGCTGCGATAGTCAGGAAAATGATTGTAAGTCACCTTGTTGTAACTTAGAAGGGGCACTAAAGAATCAGTTCTAAGTTGAGCACTGCCTCAAATGGTCATAAGTGGAGGACGACCAGTTTATCTCCTGTTGGTTCCTTAGATTTAAAAACACAGAAGCCATTGGGATGGAGGTCACCCGTCTGGTTCGCTTGGACCCTGGAGCCGTCAGTGACGTGCCGGAAGCCATCAAGGTAGGCCTTTGAAAATGATGCAAATTTTCATCAGGAAAAGGATCAAAAATTGGCTGGAGGCAATAACAGGGGTTAAAATAGAATGGAAACCTGAAGTTTTTTTATTAGGAATAATGTCTGNGATGGATGGGAGAACTTTAGATGAGAGGGAAATTATATTCAGATGGATATCTAGATCTAGGTAAAGATGATAGAGATCTAGAGAGGTAAATGATAGGTAAGTGGGTGGGTGGATGGATGGATAGATAGAGAAAGAGAAAATAGAGAGAAAGAAAGAAAGGATGATAATGTAGACAGAATTGCAGAAAAGATAGATGATACACATTGCACAAGAGTCATAAATAATAGATATATGAGAGACAGAGACAGAGAAATGGAGGGAGGGATATGGATAGGCAGATAGATACTAAGAGTCGTAAGTAGAGAGACAGAGACAGGTATGAATGTAGATGGATGGATGGACAGAGAAGTAGACAGATGGATAGATTATTCATTGTTTCTATGATGCTTGGATAAACTGGAGAGTTTAATAAATCACTAATACAAGTCACCAAGAATCAAGGAAGACGTCCCATGGTTGGGATTTAATGTGGGGGGAACTGTTCCATTGGGGCACTTGGGCTTCTCTGTCTCGACCCATTCCTGGTCGGAGCCATGCTTAGAAGAAGACCCGCCCTGTTGTATTTTCTCAGATGGGTTACGTCAGGGAGTACATCCTCTGGGCAGCTTCCAAGTCCCAGCTGCTGGCTCACCAGTTCATTTGGAATATGAAGACCAACATCTACCTGGATGAAGAGGCACACCAGAAAGACCGTGAGTAGACCAAGTTTGGAGATGTTGCACTACCCTCCTCCTCTTCCTCCTCTCCATAAAGCCCTCTCCCTTCTAGCACTGATGATGCTACCTAGTTTAGCCACGAAATGTCTGCCAGAAAACCCAAGTTCAGAGACCATTGACCCCACAGTCTTCCTGCTCCTCCTCCTCCTCTTCCTGCTCCTCTTCTTCCTCTTCCTCCTCTTCCTCCTCTTCCACTCCATAAAGCCCTCTCCCTTCTAGCACTGATGATGGTACCTAGCTGAGCCACGAAATGTCTGCCAGAAAATGCAAGTTCAGAGACCACCGTCCCCATACTCCTCCTCCTTTTCCTGCTCCTGCTCCTCCTCTTCCTGCTCCTCCTCCTCNTCCAGAGGTTGGTATTCAGCAGGTTCTGAGTAGTTCGGAGAACCAGAAAATACCACCTCTGACTGGCCCCACCCCCATCTATTCTCTGCCTCCCGAGTCCCAGCTGATCTGGAGGGAATGGAGATTTTACAGTGTCCTTCCCCTGCCACGCCCACCAAGCCACACCTGCCATTCCATACCCACCAAGCTACGCCCACAGACCCGGTAGTAAAAACATTTGAATCCCACCACTGCATCCCTCCATCTATCCATGGTGCACAGTGGTTAGAATGCAGTATTGCAAACTAACTCTGCGCAGGAGTTCGATCCTGACTGGCTCAAGGTTGACTCAGCCTTCCATCCTTCCAAGGCCGGTAAAACGAGGACCCAGATAATTGGTGACAGTGTGCCGACTGTGTAAACTGCTTAGAGAGGACTGCCAAGCACTGTGAAGTGGTATATAAGTTTTAAGTGCTTCTGCTGTTGCTATTGATTGGCTTGGTGCCAACTGGATGCTTCTTTAAAACCTTTAGATAACCAAGACACCCGGAGCAATCTTGACATCACTGTGGGCTCCCGACAGCAAGCTACCCAGGGATGGATCAACACTTATCCTTTATCCAGCGGCATGTCAACCATCTCCAAAAAATCAGGTGCGTCTTGCTTTATCTTACCGGGTTTCCCCGAAAATAAGACAGGGTCTTATTTTCTTTTGACCCCCGAAATAAGTGCTTATTTCGGGGAGGACTTATTATTTTTGACGTGCTGGAGGTGGCGAGCGTGGTCATCTCATGGCTGCTGCTCTGTTGCAATATTTTCAGGGAGGGTTTCTTTTGAGGGGAGGGCTTATTTTAGCGCATGTGCTCAAAAGCCCGATTGGGTTTATTATTCGGGGAGGTCTTATTTTCAGGGAAATTAAACTCCTGTTTCATCACCCTGTTTAATCCTCACAACAACTGGGGCAGTCAGATTTTTTGTCTGTTACGACCTTTGCAGCGTCCACACAATCGAAATTCAGATGCTTGGCCACCGACTCATACTTATGACTGCTGCTGTGTCCCATAGTCACGTCACCCCTTCTGCAACCTTCTGACGAGCCAAGCCAACGGGGGAGCTGTTCTGACCCAGGCTTCCCCAGCAGCACAAAGCCGAGTCCTCGTCCCGATAAACTCCTTTTATTTAATTTACAGTGAATTTCTCTCCAGGAAAGTCTTTCCTCTCTCAAAGTCTTCCAAGATAGTTCACAATTACCGACCTTTATCAGGCTTGGAGAGTGGCCAGAGCGATAGCTCTCAGACGCCGCAATACTTGGCAAGAATGCAGGAATGAACTAATTGTCTCCTGCAAACTCCACTCCCCTTTCGCTCC